CAGATTCAGTCCACAAGAGCTGGTATCATGTATGTTTTAGTTCTTCTCCCCGGATGTAGTTACTACCTCCTCAGCCATGTCAGGGCTTTGCATATCCTTGCTAATGAAGTACAATTTGACAAAAATGTGTTGAAAAAGAGGTAACTACACTGCAAAAAATTAAAATCTAAGCATATCAAGAAAGGACAATAAAGGTATTTTCTATTCTACTCTATATAACTTTTTGTTAAACTAGGTGTATTTTTTCATGTATTGAGCAGGTATGTTTGACACTTTGCCAATGGAATAAGTTTTGATTTACATACAAAACAACAAAATACAATAACTACAGTCATTCCGTAAAAGTTTAAAAACCAATCCACTGGACTTGGTTTCCAAGGTTTGAAGACATTTCCGTCCAGGAAGCTTTCTCAATTCAAATGTGTGGATTTGCAGTGAGTTTGAGGCTTTATATGAACAAGGCCTTGTATTGCTTGGAAACATGCAAATTGAAACTGACGAGCGGGTCGTTTGGTTCCATTGTTGGCCTGTAATACCTGGAACCTGTCTATGATTGTGAAAGGTCTGTTGTTAAAGGCGGGATAGACTACCGTTCAAAAGTTTGGGGTCACATTGAAATTTCCTTATTTTTGAAGGAAAAGTACTGTACTTTTCAATGAAGATAACTTTAAATTATTCTTAACTTTAAAGAAATACACTCTATACATTGCTAATGTGGTAAATGACTATTCTAGCTGCAAATGTCTGTTTTTTGGTGTAATATCTACATAGGTGTATAGAGGCCCATTTCCAGCAACTATCACTCCAGTGTTCTAATGTTACAATATGTTTGCTCATTGGCTCAAAAGGCTAATTGATGATTATAAAACCCTTGTGCAATCATGTTCACACATCTGAAAACATTTTAGCTCGTTACAGAAGCTACAAAACTGACCTTCCTTTGAGCAGATGGAGTTTCTGAAGCATCACATTTGTGGGGTCAATTAAACACTCAACAGTCTATTCTTGTTCTTAGAAATGAAGGCTATTCCATGCGAGACATTGCTAAGAAATTGAAGATTTCCTTCAATGGTGTGTACTACTCCCTACAGAGGACAACACAAATAGGCTCTAACCAGAGTAGAAAAAGAAGTGGGAGGCCGCGTTGCACAACTGAGCAAGAGGATATGTACATTAGAGTCTCTAGTTTGAGAAACAGACGCCTCACAGGTCCCCAACTGGCATCTTCATTAAATAGTATCCGTAGTAGCCTGTTTGTGCTGTCCTCTGAAGGGAATAGTGCACACCGTTGTAGGAAATATTCAATTTCTTAGCAATTTCTCACATGGAATAGCCTTCATTTCTAAGAACAAGAATAGACTGTTGAGTTTCAGATTAAAGTTCTCTTTTTCTGGCCATTTTGAGCGTTTCATTGACCCCACAAATGTGATGCTCCAGAAACTCAATCTGCTCAAAGGAAGCTCAGTTTTGTAGCTTCTGTAACGAGCTAAACTGTTTTCAGATGTGTGAACATGATTGCAGAGGGGTTTTCTAATCATCAATTAGCCTTCTGAGCCAATGAGCAAACACATTGTACCATTAGAACACTGAAGTGATAGTTGGTGGAAATGGGCCTATATACACCTATGTAGATATTGCACCAGGAACCAGACATTTGCAGCTAGAATAGTCATTTACCACATTAGCAATGTATAGAGTGTATTTCTTTAAAGTTAAGACTAGTTTAAAGTTATCTTCATTGAAAAGTACAGTGCTTTTCCCTCAAAAATAAGGACATTTCAATGTCACCCCAAACTTTTGAACGGTAGTGTAGTTCCCCTGGCTGAAGAAAGGAGGTACTTTGTTCCACTGTGATGGGGTGGTGGTTGTGATGATACCTGGAAGGAATCAACTCAATAACTGAATTGTAAGTTTTTGTAAGCTGGAATCTGAGTTCACCACCTCTGTTTAAGTTTGGTTTTTCTCTCTTAACATAGATGGCTTCCTTCACACCCCTCTCAAACCACCTATTTTCTTTATCCCAAATGTGAACATTCTGGTCCTCAAAAGAATGTCCTTTGTCCACAAGGTTTAGATGTACTGCAGAGTCTTGTCCAGAGGAGGCCGCTCTGTTGTGTTGGGCCATTTGTCTGTGGAGAGGTTGATTAGTTTCTCCAATATATTGTAGACATACAAGGCCATATAAAGCCTCAAACTCACTGCAAATCCAGACATTTGAATTGAGAAAGCTTCCTGGACAGGTAGCTAAACATCTTCAAACCTTGGAAACCAAGACCAGTGGATTGTTTTTTAAACTTTTTAAGGAATGACTGTGACCTGGATGACTGAGAATCTTCATAACTACAGTCTCTTATTTCAAGTGCATAATATCCAATTACATTTTTAAGGGTAAAAGTACTCATTCCATTGGCAGATCATATTATATACCTACTCAAATTAGAGGAAAGAAGGTATTTCAAGAAAACTTTACTCATTTTTAGGTTATGTTTGCAGTGTAAAACATCCAGGAACTCTCTTGCAAAGCATTCCTGGATATATTTTGTCATCTAGTGACCATAGATACACACTACTTTTCAAGGCGTATTCCAGAAAAATTTGAGTCCTCTACTTTTTCATCCACTAGACATTGGGACAAACACATAAATTGGTGTGCTTTATACAGGGGTTATGGCGTACGTTGGGACAACGCCTCGGTGTGGCTAATTGCATTTTAAGAAAGAAAAAACAGCAACAGTAGATTTCAAAGTTAAGCTGAGCCAACAGCAACAAGTACCAACTAGCTTCCTAGAAATGCAGTGGAGTCGAAAGTACAATATTCACCTTTGAAATGTAGTGGATTGAAGTTTTTAAGCAATATTGTTAGAGTTTATAGTTAAAAAGAACAAGCTAAAAGTTAAGTTCACTTTTTCAAAAATTTACCAATATTACAAACCTAAAAAGCACTAGTTTTGGTTAATTTGGTAAATGAAGCCACAATCGTACACAAAAAAACCTCATATTTCACCCTTTAAATGTGTGATCATGATATATAGAAAGAAATGAAAAATACTGGATGCAGTCAAGGTGTACTGTATGTGCACTGAAGCCTTTATTTAATCAAAATTACACAGAAGTTCAGAAACATACAGGAACATTTAGGTTTTGCTGAAAAGATCTGGATCAGAAATTATTTATCATGTTGCTCATTCAGTAGCAAAAATCTCCTAAGATAGTTTGGATGTTTAACTCGATTTGTTGCTTTAAATTTGAAGTGGATTTACCATTAGGCAATACTAGGCAGGTGCCTAGGGCCCCACGTTCCATAGAACTCCTTTTACGTGTATGGTTAATACAGCTATTATTTATTTATGCACATTATTTATGTTTTTGATAAAAATCTTTTCATTAAAATGCCATAAAAATGCTCATAATATTAAGTGTGTCTTCAGTGTCCAAAATATTGGATCAGTCCATTTGCTGCACATGTTCAGAAAGGTAGCAGCAAACCATTTTTAAAAAAACGGTGCGAAGAGCACTGTTGCCAACTTAGCACTTTTGTCTCTACATTATAAGGCCCCTCTAGCGCTTTACTACAAAAAAGTGCTTAGCGCAAAATCAAGTGACTTTTTTCTGCTGCTGGAGACTTTGGCGACAACATATAAAAGCACTGAACTCTGCTCTCCAGAGCAAGTAGATTTTTTAACCCCGCCTCCTGCTCTCCTCTATCTTGTCTGCTGTCATGATTCATGCAGCTATTATTTCATACAAATAAAAAATGGAGAACAGATAAACAGATCATGGCTTGTCTACAGAGAAAAGAAGGACTGGGTTATTTACCTTTTTGAAGGAGCAATCAGCTAAGTTAGAATGGGCTTAGTGATTGGACAATATTTGATTCCCTTTGAGACAGCATAAAAAGGCAGCTGAGCACATTGCCAATATGAAAAAAGACAAAAGAAAATATAGAGAGGAAAACAGCGAGAAAGGGGATCAGAAGAAAGGGACAAATTTAGACATTTTTTTTTTATTTCTTTCTAAAAAACATTTCTATATCTGTATAATGGGTCTGTCTCAATTAAGAGGGCCCCCTGCCTATCTGTGCCTAGGGCCCAAAATTTCCTAAATCCGCCCCTGGTTATAAGTACCCCCTCTAAAAATTACTCAACTAATGTAAATATACTCAAAAAATTTACTTCATTATAGTAATCAAGTAAATGTACATAGTTACTGTCCAACACTGCAAATCACCTGGTATGGGTGGCCACAGGGGTGGGCAATCATTGGCTAGGGGTGGCCATGGTGCCACAGGCTCCCTTTTAGATCCGCCCCTGCACTCCTGGGGGCAACAAATATCAAAGATTTTTAACCAAATATATCATAAATCCCTCGAAACAGTATAGAATAATCGGAAAGGAAAATTCTATAATCTTTTACGTGAAGTGACTTTTATTTCTAACATAACCAAGAAGATAATTTAGTTTCCTTTTCCATACTTGTCCAGAATTAGATTTCTATTGAATTAATTTTAAACGTTGGTTTGTTCACTCCTGCTGGATCTCTGTTTTAGGATAATTGTTTATCTCTTCCAGTGAGGGCATTTCATAGCAATAAATTAATTTATTGATGCAGGAATTTGTACCCCCCTCCGTTCGGAAGTGTGTAATTTATGAGGTCACGAAGAAGAAGGAAACAGAACTCGATAGCTAAGATGGCGGAGGAAAAGCAGGAATCCTCACAGGGAGACATCGAGGGTGAGAAAATCACTTTCTCTTGCCATGCACAACAAGCTGCGCCTTTATTTATCGGACAGCTGCAGCTCTCAGTGCTGCTGTTGTCCTGCTGAGGGTTTTATCCGTCCCTGTCTGAGGCTGCTAGCATGCCTCGTTAAAGGCCACAGCTTCTCTGCTAGCAGCAGCAAACTGCAGCTGCTACACAAAGAAAGACCGAACCGCTGCTTCAGTCAGGCGCAGGGAAACAGTCCATGAACCTTAACACGTGTTTCACTCTAAACTGTAAATATGTAAGAATTAGAATGAAAAAGTGTGTTTTTCCTCCCTAGAGAAGGTGCTTCGTCGTGCCCAGAATTTGTTTTGTTTTCGCACAATTCGAGTTAGCCGTTTAGCTCCCCGAGGAAAAACAAAAATTCACATTAAGTGTTGAAATCATCTGATAAATATTGATTTAAATTCTTCATATATATTTTTTTTGTTTTCCAGAATGGTGTATAATTATGCTTCTATTTAGTTAAATTCAGCACTTTTTCCTACACGATATTACAACCATCCAACGTGATCAGACGTTGAATAATAACATCCCCGTGTTTTAATGATGCAGATGAGATAAAATAAATAAATAAATACAAAAACAGGAGATTATAAAATGCAATAGAAAGTGTCATTTAACTTTAAGATTTAAATAGATCTTTGGTCCCTAACCCCGTGTTCACATTCATTTTTTGCCAAATCATCACCAGAACCACAAAGAAGTCCCCCACCAGAGAGGTTTACAGGGGCTAACAACCAAGCTCATATTCCTTCCTCATTTATTTATTCATTTTTTTGCTATTAAATCATATATATTTATGTTTTAGATGTTCTTGTTTTCGCTGTTTTTCAGATTTAATGTCAAATATATGCATCATGCTTTTTACCATATGCAGCAACTTAAACTACAGGATACACCAACTGGTTTATTGGCCCAGGACATGGAAAATTAAAGCATTTTTTCAGCCTACCATCTACTATCATTATTTTATGGTTTCTTTCTTAAGTCCCTTGTTAGTTTTTATACAAATGATTCCAAAACCAAAGTCTGATTTGTTTGTTCACACAACAATGACCGATAAAGCTTAGTCTAATTCCAGAGCTCTCATTCGTGGTGTAACAGTTAGGGCTGCAACTAACTAAATTATTTTGCAAATCGATTAATCTATTGATTAATTTTTTTTTCTATGAATCGATTAGAGAGTAATCGGGTAGACAGAGGTTCCTTGAAGAAGACGTTTTATTAAACTAAACCAGGTGAAACTAAAACTTTTCCACTTGATCATTTCTCGATACAGCATATTGACAGACGAAAACGTGTTTTATCTTAAACGCAAAATGTTTATATATATATATATATTTTTTTACATTTTTAGAATAATTACTGCTTTAAGTGGGTCACTGTATATTAAAGGCATGTTTTACAGTTTTTACTCTCCATTTAACAGTTAATTGATTACCAATAGTTAACAATTATTTCAGTAATCGATTATTTCAATCATGATTAATCTGATTAATGGTTTCATCTCTAGTCTTCATCTTCATATCTTTGTGGATATGAATAAATAAATGAACAAATGTAATAAAATCAGTTCAAAATATCAATTTATGATGAGCGATTATTGAAATAATCGTGGCCTTAGTAATTAAACAACAGCTGCAGCATAGAGACCCTAAAACATGCCATTGACTGAAGTAATAATCCCCTTAGAGCAGTACTTAAGCCAAAAGTACAAACAAATGTCCACCATTTACAATGATGATAAACCTGTTTCTTAAAACCCTCTGTCCAGAATTTAAGTGTTATAGTTTTAGCTTCACACAGTGAAAAGTCTGTAAAGAAGTTGTTTATTCAGCATGTTTTGCAACCCCATTTATAATCTGTTAGTCACTAGTTGCAGCTTATTGCCTGCATTTAAGCGCACACTTCAAAATAAAAACATCAGTTGATTCTTCCTGTAGAAACCTGAAAGGAATATCGTTTTTTATGTTTTTTTTTCATGTTCATATCATGTCATCTCTGACTTTGGCTGACCTTGATATCGTCTTGTTTTACAGGAGTTAATTGCCTTGCCTATGATGAGGCTATAATTGCTCAGCAGGACAAGATTCAGCAGGAGGTGAGGAATTTTTCATTTAGAGGGAATGCCACTGCAGTGCAATCTGGGTACTTGGCACTTATCTGCCTTTTATGCTAAATCACAGTGTACTTGAGTGGTGGGAGTGAAAAAATGGAAAGAACTGGGAGAAAGACGCACAAAGAAGGAGACATGAAACGAACAACTGTTTTGATTATCGGCAAAGGGATTGACGATATTGGCTAAAATGTTATAACCTTATTTTTAAGATGCAAGCACTATAAAAGCCTCAAACTACCACAGACGCATATATGAATCTCTGAAAACCATGTTACCATTTCTATTCACCTCCAATGTATAATCTTAGAAATTTGCCTGAAAAAAAAAGGTCCTTAGAAGAAATGTACATCAAACCGGGTGATTATCTTTCCCTTCTTATTGTGAGGGACCGAGCCAGCTAAGCATGAGCACACAGTGGTGATTGTCAAGAAAAATGGGGTTTATTTCCCCAAAGTAACAATAATCCAAACAAAGGTTTCAGGTTCCTTAAAAGAGGTCAAATGAAGAGACTAACTTAAGGGCAAAAAAAATATCAAGCTCAAACTAACTGAACAAACAAAACTGACCTGACACACAGCAAACAAAGGGGACTTAAATACTGGCTGATCAGACCAGACTGACACATTGAGGAAGAGGTAGGGAGAACATCTACACCAAATTAACAAAAATAACTAAACAGTTAGCTTAAGGATTAAACTTAAATGACAATCAATAAACAAATTATCAAAATCAGCAAATCCCAAAAGCAAGAAGAAGAAATTATGCCACATTTTGCCAGTTGACGGCACTCCCACAACACCAGAAAAGAAAGCACAAAATATATTAAGCATTTGACAAAATTAAATATACAAAAGTTAACCAAATGTGCGCGCAACAATTGGAACTAACTTTTTCAATATTGTCAAAATAAACCCAATACATTTATGCTACTGTGTATTAAAACTTATGAAAAAGTGGTTGTGTGTGGGGTTATTGACCATGTGACTATCACACTTATATTTCTCAGTAATGGGTTCTTGGCTCTGTCAGCTTCTGTCTTCTTTATTGACTTTCATATGTCTCAGCTGAGTAGACAAACACACATAAACCTAAAAGTCTATGTTCCCACTGTAATAGATGAGTCTACGTATAACTAGCTCTGAAAGTACACAATAAATCACACTGTAGAAAACATTTTATGAGGAGTTTTTATTTTTTTCTCCCCTCTTTCACCCATCCCACAGCTACTCATCTGCTCTTGCCTGTTATTTGATAAAAGTTTGGCTCATTTTGAATTTTTCATTCCAAGTAAGGAAAGAAAAATCAGATCCCAGATTTATTTCTTAGTTTTAAACCTGGCCTTTATTTGGCTCCATCCGTCTTTCATCTTCCTGCTGAAGAGCGGCACCCCCAGAGCATGATGCTGCTAGCACCGTGTTTCAGATGGTGTCATCCCAACTGTCAACCAAACTTTAAGGACAGAATCTGTTTAAAGATTAAGCTAACCAATCTATATGTTGATTAAACGTTCCATGAATTGGGAAAGGTAGAGACGGCTTCATCAGCTGTAGTTTTTGTACTCTGTGTGAGTCTAAGTTAAAGACGGTGTCAGGCAGATGGTCTTAGCAGGGCATGCATCAAGATTAGGGCTGCAACAACGAATCGATAAAATCGACTTTTAAAAGCGTTGGCAACGTATTTCATCATCGATTAGTTGTGTCGCGCGATTAATGCGTCATCCAGCGCTGCAGGTGCAGTGTTGCCAACTCAGCGACTTTGTTGCTATATTTAGTGACTTTTCAGACCCCTCCAGCGACTATTTTTTTTTTTTTTAAAAAGCGACTAGCGACAAATCTGGCGACTTTTTACGGCGTCACTGGCGGCTTTTGGAGACTCTTACGTGAAAGCATGTATCGTTCCTACTCTTGTCCTGCAGCAGCAGCTGCTGCCGTGAGGCGCCTCCCCCATCCCAACCCCGTTCTCCTGCAGGAATCCCTGCAAATGAAGCGCGCATGCGCCAGGATTGACGGCGCAAATTGATCACAATAATTAAAATAGCCTTTATTAATAAATTAACTTGCAAATTATGAGGGCAAGGCTTTTAAAGTTTAAATCTTCTGGCAAAGATAAAGTAAAGAAGATCCTGCAATTTATGGAAGTAAAGCAGAATAAAATCCAGCAAGATCAGTAATATGTCAATTAATTATTTGCCACATTCCCATGTAAATATCTGTCTTTGGAGGATGTGTTTTTTAGCACACCTAGTTCTCTCATTTTTATTCCAAATACAATTTATAATTTGAATCACAGGGCTATTTTTATCTCTATGGTTCAGTATTTTCTCAAGTAGCAACTTTAACTGCTATACTTTCCTGTCTTAAAAGGCAGAACTCTTCTAGTCTAAAAAAAACTCATTTGTTGAAATGGGGGGACCTATTGTTTGAGCCCCTTAGTGGCTTTAAAAAACAAAAATTTCTTTTTTTGCGCTTTATGAAACAAAGTAGCCTATATTTTGTGGATGTACAGCTACATTTCTCATGTAAGTTTGCGTAGTTTTAACACAAACATTTATTTTTCATATTGCACCAGTACAGTTAATGAGCATCCTGTACTTGTGTGCTTGTTTGTTCTGTCTAAAATGTTTATTTTGGAATAAATCAAGATAACGCGTATTTTAGCGCTGACTCCACGTCCTTAAAGACTTAATTTCCTTTCGCTCATTAAGATTAAGTATAACAGCCTTATTTCAGCTTAATTGTCTACATTTAAAAATGCACTTGGAAGAGCCATGGTTTGTTTATTGGTACGGGTTTCAGTGCTGAACCAACAATTTTTCCATTTCAGAAAATAAACTCCCATTGTAAAAAAGGACTGAATCTGTTCATCTGTTTCCCTTTCATCAGTTTAAGGGCAAAATCTGTGCAGTTGTTTAATTGAACTTGTAGACCAAACAATATAATCCTGAGTGCCAGAGTCTGAACACCCCCTGCTCTAGAGCATTGATTCTCCTAGTCAAATAATCAGGTCATTAACAGGATTCTGGGGAACCTGACTGTAAACTGAGAGGTTAATTTGGCCATTTGATGCGTCTGAAAGATGCAGAACAACCAGATATTGAGGCCCTGATTTGAACAGGGTCCAGGTCCTTCCATTAATGACATTTCCTGAAAGGTGCATTAACAGATGGAGAATGACTCAGGGGCTCATTATAGACTCATGGACAATCCGCGCGAAAAACGAGCCGCCTGTCACAGTGTGTGCAGCATTTGTGCTCAGCACAAACGCCAAGCTGACACCATTACACTATCCTTTTGTCCATAAAGTGCACATTTGTGAAGTGCAGGACTATTAAGTTCTCCTGTGAACAGAATATCCCATCTGAGCTGTCAATTTGACTTAGACTAAGTCTAAGAATCTCTGTAATTCTTCCAGAGTCACCATCAGGCCTTTGGCTGCATCAGTGATCAGTGACCTCTTTGTTCGGCCCTAAGTCTAGATAGACGGCCTTTTCTTGGTACAGTGAATGTTATGCCAGTACATAATTAAAATGAACGAGCTCAAAGTTCAGCCCACACAGATGAAAATGAACTAGCTAATGTTCATATTTCACTTTTTCAAAAAGTACTTTACAACTTTAATCAAAGTCTCTTCATGCAATCCTAGAGCATAGTGCTGACATTTTTGAGCTAAATGGGATTCCTCTACATGTTTACATGTGTGAAACCTTGTCAGCAGGAGCTGCTTTCTGCTCATCATCTTTTCCATGCAGATCTGTCCATCGAGTCACAAACTTTCCTAGGTGCTCTGTGCATAAATTCTGTCTGCATGGAGTCCGCTCAGAAGAACGTGGAAGCCCAAAATGACACAATCTGGCTGCACAGACCTCACAGTTAAGAGTTGATACTAATTTTCACTAACTCCAATATGTGTGCAGATCGCAAACACTAACCCGCTGGTGTCGGACAAACAGGACCTGTCAGTGCTTCAGAAAGAATACGCCGAGGATGACGCAGTTTACCAACTCAAGCTCAAGGTCGGTTGGTCAGCAGCTGGTCCCAGGCATCCCCAGGCTGCTGAATTATTTCTGTAAAACCGTTTGAGTGCTCAGGTTGGTCCTGGTAGGAGTAATCCTATGTTTTCTGTCGCAGGACCTATACAAAAAGTATGCATACATCCGGAAAACACGACCGGATGGAAACTGCTTTTACAGAGCCTTTGGCTTCGCTCACCTGGAGTCCCTGCTTGAAGACAGCAAAGAACTTCAGAAGTAAGAGGCATAATTCATGCTAATGGTGCTAAAGTGTTTATTAATGCCGGATAAATTCCCATTATGTTTATCTGACACCAAAGGGCTCAATTTTAACTTAATAATGTCTCATTAAAGATACTTCTTCTTAAAATTCTCAAATTTGTCATGAATATGAGTTTTTGGTTCAGTTTGTGATTCCCCCTCTTTAAACGGATGCATTCTATTTCTTTAAGAGGTCATGTATGTTTCTGTGGATTTCCACAGTTAATTAAGTTATTTTTGGTATTTTAGGTTCAAAGCAGTTGCAGCTAAAAGCAAACATGACCTGGTTAACGAAGGCTTCACTGAGTTTACCATTGAGGATTTCCACAACACAGTGAGTAGTAGCGACATCGCTTCATTGCATTTCACTCGTTTGTGGTCTGGTTGGAGCGGGAGGAGTTCTAGAGTTGATAGAATACTAAACCTTTTAAAATAGATACTGATCAAGAAATAGTTGATGCTATTTTGACTACAGCAGCACACGGTGCGCTCCGTTTAAGAAAAAAAAACAAACATAGATGTAATTTTATTAGGGAAAGTCCAAGGAGTAGGAAAACATTCAGGCATTATTTAGAAAAAGTTAATAACTTCACTTCCCTATTTGGCAAAAAAAAATAAAAAATCACTTGTAACCACTTAAAATCCTATAAGAACCTTTAATATTAAACTATTAATATATATTAAAATAAATAAATGTTCTCATGAAAAAAAAACTTTACAATAAATATTCTTTAGCATATTTTGTTATTTATTTACTTCAAGAATGTGTCAATGTATTTATTTTATTTAAAAAACATATTTCAAGATAATACATGCTTTATTAAACGGTGTTATATTTTTTTTAGAATTGATTTGTTTTTTTTGTAAAACTACTATATAAATAGGGACGTCCTGATCCAACATTAATATCAGATCATCCAGCATCTGAAATCTCCATTTTCATGATAAAATAAATATTCTCCTTTTCTTAAAGTTTCTGTAACTCATTGGTAAATTGTATGTGGGTCATTCGTTTTCATACCTTCCGTTGTTGACTGTGTTCCCTGTTTAAGAAATATTAGTTGATCTAACATCCTACAGTATAAAATAAGTAATGCAGGAAGGATTGAAAAGCATGTTAACATGGTAATGTAGGCTTGAGTTCATTATCTGACGCATGCATATACACACCAGGAACCTTTAAACTAAAATACTGAATTACAAAAAAACATTTAAAAAACAAACATATTTTATTTATATATATATATATATATATATATATACAAAAATGAATATTAGGAACTATATTTATCAAACATTATACTGGGCAAGTAAAAATTGTTTGGGCAAGTGGTAAAAATCCTTAACGTCAACCCCTGTTAAAAAAAAAAAAAAAGAAAGCTTTTAGTGAGGCAATAACTGCTGCTCTAGAGAAATCTGTGTCATAAAATTATATTTATTTAATTTTTAAAAAAAAATTTCTATCCTTTTGAGTAAACGGCTTATTTTAAGGAACATTTCAACAAGAAGATATCGACAAGGATCATGTCCTGGAAAACATATTTCTCAAGCTCCATAGTTGCATTGTTATTCCTAACCTAATGGTGACCAGAATGCTGATGAAAAACATTTCCATTTTGTAAAAGCCACACTTTTGAAAGATTCATATTTTCTTTATCTTCTCCCTATCCAGTTCATGGACTTGATTGAAGTATGTGAGAAACAGCCAAGCCTGCAGGAGCTGCTGAACTCTTTCAATGACCAGAATATGTCGGACTACGTTGTTGTTTACCTGCGCCTCCTTACCTCAGGCTACTTGCAGCGAGAGCACGGCTTCTTTGAACACTTTATCGAGGGAGGACGTACCATCAAGGAGTTCTGTCAGCAAGTGAGTATTTCTGGGTGGGGGTGGGGGGTTGGTGAACTTCCAGAAAGTTCACCAATCAGGAGTAGTAGTTGGCTGATTCTAGTAGCATTTGCTTCTCTATAAAGTCTAATGTGATCGATCTAATTTTCAACAAATTCTGATTTTCTTATGAATACAGCATATAAAACATTAAAAAAATGTTTTAATGTAGCTGGAAATTATGCTATTTTATAGTCAAAGACACCAAAAGCTCTTTGGATCTATTNATATATATACAAAAATGAATATTAGGAACTATATTTATCAAACATTATACTGGGCAAGTAAAAATTGTTTGGGCAAGTGGTAAAAATCCTTAACGTCAACCCCTGTTAAAAAAAAAAAAAAAGAAAGCTTTTAGTGAGGCAATAACTGCTGCTCTAGAGAAATCTGTGTCATAAAATTATATTTATTTAATTTTTAAAAAAAAATTTCTATCCTTTTGAGTAAACGGCTTATTTTAAGGAACATTTCAACAAGAAGATATCGACAAGGATCATGTCCTGGAAAACATATTTCTCAAGCTCCATAGTTGCATTGTTATTCCTAACCTAATGGTGACCAGAATGCTGATGAAAAACATTTCCATTTTGTAAAAGCCACACTTTTGAAAGATTCATATTTTCTTTATCTTCTCCCTATCCAGTTCATGGACTTGATTGAAGTATGTGAGAAACAGCCAAGCCTGCAGGAGCTGCTGAACTCTTTCAATGACCAGAATATGTCGGACTACGTTGTTGTTTACCTGCGCCTCCTTACCTCAGGCTACTTGCAGCGAGAGCACGGCTTCTTTGAACACTTTATCGAGGGAGGACGTACCATCAAGGAGTTCTGTCAGCAAGTGAGTATTTCTGGGTGGGGGTGGGGGGTTGGTGAACTTCCAGAAAGTTCACCAATCAGGAGTAGTAGTTGGCTGATTCTAGTAGCATTTGCTTCTCTATAAAGTCTAATGTGATCGATCTAATTTTCAACAAATTCTGATTTTCTTATGAATACAGCATATAAAACAGTAAAAAAAAATGTTTTGATGTAGCTGGACATTATGCTATTTTATAGTCAAAGACACCAAAAGCTCTTTGGATCTATTGTCTAAATGGTACGTTAAAAGGTCTTGTTATAGTTGGAGATTGGCTGATTAACCCCTTAGCTCCCACTTCCAGTCACGGGACGTTTTGACGTCACATTTTGTTCCACATCAAACAGAAATCTTCTTTGTTAAAAAAAAAATGAACACGTTTTACCTCTTTAGAATCAGGTGATCCTAATGAATACAACTATCATGTCAATTGTAGGCCAACTATACTCCACAAACACTAATGCTGCGTTTGCACCCCATGTGCTTTGAGCAGCAGAAGCCGTGGGTTTACACGAGAAGTCTACGGTAAAAGGGGACGGCGTTTTTTTTTACATTGGCCCTTGATTTTACATTATTACAAAATGTTCTACTCACCCATATAAGTCTTGTGTCATTTGGAGCTGTTCTGAAGATATTCCATTAGGTTATATCCAAGTAACGTCTTCCTATGGGCAACGACTTGAAGGCACAAACTGAACTGTTCATAATTTATTCTTTATGGTACGCCATTATTCATAACGTATGCGAATCACTGTCCCCCAGACATCCACGGTTATATTTTTTATATTTTCATCTTTTAAAAGATTTAAAAGATTAGCTCGCCGAATGAATGCATAGCCGCCTGTAGCCCAGGCTTCCTGTTACGACTCTAGTGCACATTCGTGGATGACGTCATACACGCGCCACTTTGTTTTTAAAACATATAAATATAAAAAATATAACCGCGGATGTCTAGGGGACAGTGATTCGCATACGTAATGAATGCAGTTGTAAAAAAACGGCAAGAGACGACCCTGCTTGAGACGGCTACTGCTGTGGATTCCCAGTGATGG